GGTCATCTTAGAGTCCTGCTGGGCACTTGGAAGAAGATCCAAGTGTGGAGAAGCAATACGGGATGCAGAAGCACTTTGATCCTTGTGAATGCCTTTATTGTATTGTTACTGATGAAATAACCTGACCCACACCTTGGCTTTAGGTGCAGATCAAAACTTGGCTATCCACCAGAGAGCCAGTGCAGGGTCAATGATAAAACCAGATGAGATCAAGGGTTGTAATGGTCAGAATGCTGGATGAGGAGTCAAGTTCAATAGTTCAATAGCCAAAGCGAATAGGGCTAAAGCAGACTGGCTTTTCAACCTTCATAATAATGTGCCAAGGAAGGAAGGGGTCTTGAACTGGTGTTTCCAGCATTCACACAGCATCGAATCACTTTGTGTGTCATTAGGATTGTGCTTCTGACACAAACTGTAAAAGACTGAGCTGTATTTTTCTAGATGCGAAAAATCAGCAGCATTAGGAAACAAATTTGCAATGGGTGTTTGTGACTTCAAGTGCACGTCTGGAGGTACTTCTTTGGGAAGAGTTGGGCCTGGTTCCAAGTCTTTTAAAAGGACCCTGGAGATTTATTATTAGGAATATTGACATTGGATTGCCTAACTTTACAAGGTGCAAGCCACACTCAAGATATCTGATCACAGTTGTGCCCAATTTCCTTTTGCAAAGATCAGTGATAACTGCTAAAGCAATGCTACACTTATGTTGAATCTCATAATATATTTCATCCAAAGCAATATAAAAACAAACCAGATGGATGCATATCCAGGTGTAGGTTATTTATTTATTATTTATTTATTTATTAAAACATTTTTATGCCGCCCCATTCGCTGAAGCTCGGGGCGGCTTACAATAATAAATTAAAAATAATTATAATAATAAATTTAAAAATATAAACATTAGATAAAAATACAAAAATACAATATAAAATAAGCCGCCCTGGCCAGATAAAATCCAATATTAACAGTTAAAATGCCGCTTAAATAAAAAGGTCTTCGCCTGGCGCCGAAAAACAAATAGCGACGGTGCCAGGCGGACCTCTCTGGGGAGCGCATTCCATAGATTGGGCACCACCGCAGAGAAAGCCCTCCTCCGAGTACCTACCCTCCTAATTTCTTTCATGGAGGGTTCCCGAAGAAGGGCCTCTCCCGCCGATCTCAAGGGGCGGCTGGGCATATATGGATGTAAGCGCTCCTTCAGGTTACATAGAAATTCTACAGCAGATTGTAGCATTTGTAATAAAAGTGAAGAAGCATCTGTGTTATACAGAGCCTATGTGGGTCTAGATAGCAAAGGGGAGGGGGAAAATTACACACACACTTAGCTGTGTTCATAAAATTGGCCAGAAAGGTTTAGCCTGAGTAAGATTGGTGGAGGCCATAGACTGTGAATCCTGTCATTAAACAGCCCATCTGCTGCCTGACTCCTTCTTGGGCCAGGAATGCTGGGGGTGACTGACAGGGCCAAGAACTTACCACAGTGGAGATGACTAATGTGAACCCCCTGTTACCACATCGGATGCAGCAATTTCACAGCCACTTTAAGAGGATCGCTGCCATGGGAAAGGGGGAGCCAAATCCCACTCTACCTCTCCAATGGATCCAAGCTGTATTGCAACTACAGTTGTTGCATAAAACCTAAAAGTGAGGCATCCATGAAGAATTTACTAACAGTACAGATCAATCTGTTTACAATGGGATATTCTTGCAATGAGGAAAGTGCAGGTAAAATTCCATTAATTGAAATGCAGGTATAGTTCCATCCCAGCCTCATTAACCAGTGACTGACTTCTGTCCACCTGAAGACCTGGTGCCACCAGCCATGGGTGGGTTGTGTGTTGGGTAATCAGCAATGACAACACTGAAGTTGTTTTGGAGGCCCACTTCTATGCATCCCAGGCAGACAAGAGTGAGAACAAAGGCGAAAGTTTCCACTCTGGTCAGCTCACTGGTCCCACCACTATCAAGCCAAATGGAGCCTCTGTTGGTTTCAGAAGCCTCCCCACCCAAAGGAGGTGGTGTTGCTTTTTGCCAGCTCCCTTCTTTCCTTGCTGCTACATCCCCACAATTATGGCTCATCAAAGAATGGTTGCGTTTGCTTCCTCTTGTCTTGTCCAATGACAGTATCAATTCTTGGCTGAGTGCTGAATTGCTACGCTGTAAAAGAGCTAGTAGTAAGAAGCCTAAGATTTGGTACCGGTTGCATTTTGTAAATTTGGTTTTCTGCTTTCTTCCAACTCCAAAGGGTGGTTAGGAATGCAGAACGTAAGTCATTATGCCTCAGGTCACTATCATGGCATAGACGAAGTCAGTCTGAATGGGAAGAAGCCTTTTGCATAGTGTGTGCTGAACCACACACTGAAAGGGTGTCATCCCTGCCTCATGAACTACCCCTTAGGCATCAGTGTCTCCTTCCATTTCAGCCTGTCTGGTATGATGGATGAGTAAATCAAAGATCAGTGCGCATCCAAAGGGAGTCCATCGTGTCTGACAAATCGTACATTCTTAGCTTAATATCTTGTTGATCTTTTGTTTGTTGTCTCCCCTGCTTCCAATTTTTCAATTTTATAAATGTTTTCAACTTTAGAAAAGCTAGCTTGAATCCCAGGATTATTGTGTCTGGTTTACACAGGCATCAGTGAATAAACCAAAGAGCCAGGTCTTTAACCTAGGGAAAAAGAGTGGCTTAGAATCATCTTCTTGTGACCATTGCATATGATAAAACTGAATGTTGCAAGTCGCAGGGTGGCCACTTACTCTCTTTTACAGAAGATACTTCTGTGTTTGAAGGACTGTCCTGTCCAATTTCAGTCTGAAGATACTAAAGTGTGGGAGCAGTTGCCCATCCAGAGCAGGCTGAAGAGGGGCGCACAACTTACATTCTTACACCGTACACTGAGCTATACTGAATTTTAATTCAAATTATAATCTTTTTTTCTAAATTTGTAGCTATACATGAATTTCCTGTTCCCTGGGTGAATTCCTAAATGGCCGCACTATGCAAGACATTTAGTTGGGCTGCTCCTCCTTCTTTTGCTTTGGTAATACCAAAATACTGGCGTATAAGGCAACTTGCATGTATGCCTGTATATTTGAATATATCGCTAGCAAAAAACCCGCCACTACCTCTAGGTAAAAACCATGGCTATCTCTAGAAAAAACATGAATATCTCTAGAGGCTTCACATCCACTGAGAGACAAAACATGTAAGGCTGGCCACTACTGAGACAAAGAGGGTAGCATCCCCAGACAGAGTCCCTAGAGATATTCGTGGGTTTTCTCTAGAGATATTCACACTTTTTCTACTTTCACAGAGGTCCTGCAGTTTCAGGCATCTGCTAGAAGCTATCCCTCATGGATATGGAGGTCCTACACTGATGAAAAGTGTTCACATGGTGTATAAGATGAACCTCCTTGATTTTTGCACCCCCCATTCCCGGTTTCAGGGGTCATCTTATATGCTGATATATATGGTATCTAGCACAGCCTTCCTCAGTTTGATCTAGCATGACACAATTTATGACATGATTTAATTGCGCTCTGTGTTCTCCTGCTGCAGAAACAACTAGTTGTGGGACACAACTAGTAGAGGGTCAGGCATAACAAAATGAACTTACTGTCCCTAATAGCCTGAAATCTTTCTCCAGTCTTTAGATTATCAGACCAGTTTCTTGGATTTGGACAAAGAACTGGGAGTTTTTAGCTGTAGGTAGCAAAGAACAAAGCATCCTTCAGTGCAGTTGCTCTTTAAGACTTAGTGTTTATAAATTAATGCAGGACCCCCATATCCATGAGGGATAGGTTCCCCAGGGGATGCCTTGAAATAGTAGAGAACACTGTATTTGTGGTGGTTAGGGGCACAGGAACCGCACAAACATAGAAAATCTGTAATCTCTCTAGAGTCTTCATGCCCACTCCTAGACAACACATGTGAGTAAGTCTGGCTAGTGCCAAGGCAAAGAGTATGGCATCATAAGAGTGAGTAGTTCCCTAGAGATATTCACAGTTTTTCCACCTTCATGGGGGTCTTGTGCCCCTAACCCCTGTGCATGTGGAAAGCCAATAGGCAACCTTGGTTAAGTGAAACTGCAGTAACCAAAACAGTGGATACAGGGATCCTGTTGTATGTATTAACTATATATAACAAAGACAATAAAAGCGTCCATTCTCTTTCTCTCTCTCTCATAAGAAAACAGACCATGTCAAGAAACCACCCCTTCAACTGCCTTCCTTTCAAAAAAGTGTATCTTTTCTTCATGTCTTAATAATGCTATGTTAAGGATCTCATCAGTATGATTAGCCAGTGGAGGCCAAAACAGATGTGTCTTTTAAGGGAGGGGCTAAATGAGAAGGGGAGGGGGAAGGAACCTATAAGGAAATGCAAGTTGGAGAGATTGTCCTGTGTGGAGAAATGGAGAGCAAGAAGACCCAATGAAAGTGGAAAAACTGTGACTATCCCTAGGGAACCATTGGCCTGCGGTCAATTGGCCTATGACCTCAGGAGATGGTCCTGAGGGAAATTCTGGGGTGTTTAATATGGATGTTATTGAGGGGAGAGACTATAACTGGGGGTCAAAAGGAGGCTAGGGGAGGGAGTTAGTGAAAGAGGAATATTTCTGAAAACTTAAGTCCCATATATTTGGAGGAAAGATAGGGCATAAATCAAATAAAATCAGAATGGGTCTGGCAAAAACAAAAGTTTCCCTAGGGAAAAAGGCAATAGGATGCAGAGAAATGTATTACGTTTGAGTATAGAGTGGGAGATACAATGTTCAGCCTGTGCAGCTTTTGCAATCAATAAGGTGACAGGTGTAATATACAGAACATTTGTATTTATGACAAGAGGCTCTTTCTGGCATCAATACGTTGGGATGACACTGCATAAATATAATCCCTTTTGAGATTTGTAGTGTTCTATTAATCTGTCAGATACTGCATTCTATCTGTTTGAAAATATGCTCAGTCTTCCCTTTCTCTTTCTTTTCTCCTGTTTCCTGCAGCTTCATCAGAAAAACCACAGATTATTAAGTGTAGATCACCTGAAATGGAAACATTTACATGTCACTGGAGTATCGGAGATTTCTCCCGCTTAACAGCTCCAGGAACTGTACAACTGCTGTATTCTAAAAGGTACAGAGAAACAGCTGAAGTGAAAGTCTGCCCTGTGTTGCAGCCCCAGAAACAAATGCCTAGAGAAAGATAAGGAAAGTGGGTGGCCGATTGCATACATAATAGCCTGCGCCAGTCAACAATAACAACAACAACTTTTATTGGCATAATAAAAAGGCAGCATTATACAGAAAACAAATTTGATAATATCCAGATCATACAGACATAATTAGCTCCTTTACTACAAGACTGTACTATAAGGGATAAAAAGATGTTCCCTTCTCCTCCGCTTCTACCATGGCACCTTTCAAATTATGTCACTTTTTTCAAGAATCTGAACTACCCCTCATATTTGTTAGAATCAAGTCCAGATACTTAATGTGTAATTCAGTGTAGATGGGCAGTAAAGGAGCATATGTGAAAATCACTCAAATCACCTCAATTTGCAAGGAGAACACATGTTTGCTGCACTCTTTAGGTCTTGCAATTCAGTATCTAAGATCCTTCAGTATGCTTTCACTTTGGAGAATGAGCATAACAGATCCACTGATAGACCTATAGATCTAATTTTCTTTGCAATAATGGTTAGCTTGTTGAGAGTGTCAGAGTCTGAAAGTAGGTGGAAGAGAAAGTTACCCTGCCCAGAGTTGTAATGGATTCTTAGCCAAAATTTGATGGACCTCAGCCACGCTCTGCTTTCTACCAAAGGCTGGCATGTCTTCCAGCATAGAGCAGTATAAAGAACACAACAAGGCAAGCCCAAGTTTTTCCAAAGGAACATGGACTCAATCTGTTCCAGGAAATAATCCATAGCCCCCGGCCATAATAGGATGTCATACAGTAATTGTGAAACAACCTTGGCATTAAAAATTTCTAGAGCAGCAGGCACATATCTGTTTCCCCTATTATAAAAGAACTGGGTAATGGATTGGGCAGTAATCCTACTATGCCAGTCATAAGTATGCATGACATTGAGGCCCTTAAGGTTCATTCCAGGTTGAAAATGGTTGGTTAAATTGGTAAATGATGCATAGTGTTGAGATTGGATGATGAGCCAATTTCACAACATCCTGCCTGCTTTTCCAGCCGCAGGGAAATGTTTCTGCAGTCACATGGTGATGGGAGCCACATACAGCCTGACTTTGTAAGGATGGAAGAAAGATCCTGCTAGATCAGGCCACACAAGGTTGACACCTGGACAAAAGATGAAATGGTGTCCACCCACCTCTGTTCCAAGTTGATTCGACTGTCAGTTGCACCTTGTTTCAGTACTTGCAGTGAGCTAGAATCCTCCATACATATTGTTTTGTTTTGTTTAGTTGTAAAGCCATGCCTGCCCAATCATGACCCCATGGACAATGTTCCTCCAGGCTCTCCTGTCCTCCACCATCCCTGGGAGCCCACCCAAGCCCACACTCACTGCCCCAGTGACTCCATCCAGCCACCTCATCCTCTGCCGTGCCCTTCTCCTTTCGCCATCAGTTGTTCCCAGCATCAGGGTCTTCTCCAGTGAGTTGTTGCTTCTCATTAGGTGCCCATAAACTCAAGTAAAATAATATAAGGATACAGTCCTATGCATGTGTAGACAGAAGTCTTAAAGCTCCCAGCATCTCCCAGCCAGTGTGGCTGGCTGGTTTGTGCTGGGCCTTGTAGGACTTTTTTCCTGTTTAGTCATGCAAAGACTTGCTCCCTAAAAGTAATTTCTAAAAGCCCTCAAACAACAAAGCCAAATAGCAAATAGAAGCAGCAGCAATTAACTATATAACCAAGCCAGAATCAGTTCACAATCAAAAACAGTAACAGGAGAACATGTCAGCAAGCCAGATACAATCTTTGTCTTTTTAACTAAGAGAAAACTTGGGAGAGCAGGACAGACTTCACTTGGTGCCCAAAAGACATCAAAGGCAGCACCAGGAAAACAAGGGTGGGAACTAAATTAGCAATCGCATAAGCAAGCCTTCCTCAACTTGGTGCCAGGGCTCTCCCAAGACAGTTTGCTGCCTGAGCCATCTTCTCCCGTTCCGCGTACAAAAGGCGACTGGGCTGGCAGCTGGCAATGAGACAGTATCGTTTATCACGCCTGCATGCAGAAGGCCAGCTCAGCAATATTTGGCAGGCTGTATCCTCCATTGTTTTTCCTTCAAAACTTTGCTACCATCAATATCTGCTTCACTGAACCTAATGGCAGTACTGCCCCCACTCCCCCGTGCCTCTCAGATGTGGCCACAAATTCCTATTATAATACAGCTGCTATCATCCCCAGCCAGCCAGCAAATGACTTTCTTGTTGCGAATGAGAACTCTTGTAATCTGAGACATGTGGGGATACCAGAGTGAGGAAGGCTGAAATAAGCTAACAAACTGATTTAAATTCTTGCAATGGGTAACTTGGCATCTTAACAGAATACTTGTATCTTGCTCATGTTTACTTTTTTGCATTTTTATTCCCAAAGGATGCACAAGACTCACATGAAAGACTGCCATGTAGATTGTTGTTGTTGTGGCATGTTGCCACATGGGTTTAAAACAAACAAAATGTTTAGGCACTGCCTTCAGAGTGGTTAACATTTCAATAGATTCTTTCTTTCCAATCCAGAGAGAAATTCCAAGTATAGAAGTGGTGGTTCTACCCTCTCTAACATCTCCCTGTATTTTTAATTATTATTTTTCTAACAAATTTAACAAAATGCAACCAAAGAGTACAGCGAGTCATTCTTTTCCATGTGAAAAACATGTCTGTGCATGCACATGCGTGCGTGTGCACATGAGTGTGTAGTTCACCGATATCCTTTTTTTATTCTTCGAATGTAACACCTTGGGAAAGTTGATGCATCTGTTTCCTTTATTCAAAAAAGACGAAAAGGGGAGCCAGGTTTCCATGAAAATGTCCTGCTTAGCTATCTGTTCCCCCTGGCTATGGTGAGTCAGCTTTCCTGCCACATCCATGAATGCCAGCCCTGGATTGTATACCCTGTAGTGTAGCTTCCAGTGTTTTGCAGCCTCTGTGGGCTGCTGCCAACAGTTAAGAGAGAAGTTGTTTACAGCAGCTAACAGCTACAGATGCTAAACAAGGAGGAGCCACTCAACACAAAATGAAACATTCTCTGCAAAAGAAGGAAATCGGGCTTGGTTTTGTCTTTGCATATCTTTCAACTGTTTAATCTTGTGTTTGAGAATGTAATCCAAGATAACAGGGCTGAAAGGTACTACCCACAAACTAAAAATTTTTGCATGTGATAATATGAGGATACAAGTCATGTTTAGGGGGGAAAAGTCATAAGGCTTCTTGTGCTTTTTCTCCAGGGATTGGATTCAGAATCTGCTTTTGGCAAGAGGAAGGGCTCAGCTTTTGGAAGTTCTTGATGCTTGATTTTTAGATCTCCTCAGTGCAGCACAACCTACCCTGTTCAGCAGGGTTTCCTGACTACGTAGCATTTTTGGGAGGCTGGAGGGGTTGCTGTAGGAGGGAAGGTGCCAGAAAGTCTACTTTATCAATTCAGTTGACTCAGCCCTAAACCCAACATAACTGCCCCCTGCTTAGGGATATTGCATAGATCTATGCCCCTGCATGCGTCCGTGTAATATTCATTTTCCTATTCTAGGCAGAGTGAATGGAAAGAATGGAAAGAATGCCCTGACTACATCACGGCCGGTGAAAACAGCTGTTACTTCAACACTTCCTACACCTCGATTTGGGTCCCGTATTGCATCAAGCTAGTCAGCGGAAATCAGACCTATGATGACGATTGTTTCCGGGTGGAGGACATAGGTATGCTACTCTGCTCTGCTTCTTTTAGACCAATTTGTGGTTCTTACGTGATGCGCTAAATTGAAAACAAAGGGTGCAGTCCTTTGTCCCACAACCTCAATGCACGTAAGCCACAAAATTCAGAGACGCATGTGCATCCTGTGCTTGGAACAAGAGGTGGGGGCAGCAACCTCCACTGTTACCGTGCCTTACAGTGAGTATTTCCTCGTCTGGACTGAGTGGTAGGGAGAGGAAGAGAAAGACGCTGGGATGCTGACCAGAATCGGCCTACATCCACGGACCCAGCCCTGACCATAGAACCATAGAAACAGAGTGAGTCAGAAGGGGTCTTCCGGGCCATCTAATCTGACCCCCAGCTCCAGTCACTTCTTCTCTCCCCGCCTCGAGACCCAGTTGGAGACCCAAAGCTGTGCCCCTGGGAGTCCTGGATTAGCACAGACCAGAGCCAGAATGGCCCAGGCTTATCCTCTCCCCGACCCAGCACCAAAAGCAACAGATGGGGTGGAGATGGAGGTTAAAATACTTAATAAGACTCTCCTTGCGCTGAACTGTACTAAAGTCCTCCCGTTTGTGTGGGAACACATTCCCAGTTCTTATCAAAGTCACAGTTGAGGCACATGCTACTGAAGGCAACCCAGCTGGAAATGGGAACTTGTGTCACACACAAATGCTGTTACGGGAGAAAGGGGAGGAGTTGGAAAGGGGATGTGTGCAGGGAGTTCTTTAAAAATCCTTTAACTTGGCATAAGTGCAAATAAGCAAACGAGCAGAGATTTAAGCAAGGAAAAAGGAGGGGGGAAAGAAGCGCCTTCTGCCTGCTGCATGGAGAAGAAGGGGAGAGGCGAGGGAGGCTCTGGCCCCCTTGCCACCATCAAGGGACCAGCCAGCAAGACTGGCCTCTCTTCCTAGAAGCAAGCGAGTGCAGCTCCTCTCCTGTGCCGACTTCCCTGCAAGGAAGCCCTGTTAAAGTCAGTGTGCTTTGCTTGCATGTAAGGCCAATGAAGATAAAGTGGTTCATTTCTGAATCAACATACATTTCAGCTGGCCGTTTCTTGAGCCAAGGGGCAAAGGAGACCCCTTGAAGGACAGGGGAGGAAGGATGGCAGCAGCACTGTACTTGCAACTCAGGCAGAGATGCTGTGGAGCGGGAGTGAGGAGGTGGGAAAGCATCTCTTCAGAAAGGCCCACGGGGTGCTTCCACTCCCCCTCCCCAGCCCGAGCCCCAGCCCACTCCTCCACCTGGTCCCAGAACAGTACCATCAGTTAGCACATACTGCTATACATACCAGGGGGAAACTGCAAAAGATCCTGATATAACTGACCTGAAGAAAATCCAAGATACAGTGGCTGAAACGGTGCGAGTGGGATGGCCTGGAGTGAGCAGTGTGTAACCTGCCAGGGAGGTAGGAACTGGAATATTGGTAAACATTTCTCGAGTAGAGTACCCCCATGTCGCAGATACTTGGAAAACACTTAGAACAGGGATGCTTTGATGATTCCAAGCCTCCCCTGCTCCCCAGTCATAGACTTACTAAAGGAAGGGAATATCACATCTGCTGGCTCCAACAGCAAACATGGGAATCCTCTAGGGTTTCATGGTAGTGTCCCTATGTATATGCACCTATACAAATATAGGGCTCTTCACATGAACACAGAATGCTTATCCATCAGGGTATGTTCATTTATTAAATCTCTTTACTGCCCAAATGTGGAAGAGACAGGCAGTTTACTAAATTGAAAAAAAAGAACTTTAATAACATAATATAATTTACATTACTGTTGCATTCCTGCTCTCTTTTTATGCTTATATCTCTCTACACACATTTTTAATACTCAATACTATGAAATCCCAGGACTCGATGCAAACCTTCAGATGTTTGCAAGTAGAGAGAGGTCTGTCTGGTGCTGAAAGGATGACTGCGTGGTACCAGCCAGACGGCACGAGGGAGAGCATCCTGCAACCAGGGGGCCACCACAGTGAAGGCTCCATCTCTCCTGTTGCCTCCTCTGAACCTCCCTCAAAAGAGGCACTTGGAGGAGGGCCTCAGATGGTTCTTGTAGTATGCAGCAAGGTTACTCCTGGGAGAGGCACTCCATCACTAGGTCTGTCTTGAACCATGTATGGTTTGATAGGTCAAACCCTGCACTTTGAATTGGACTTGCAAACTTAGAGGCAGCTACTACAGGTGGGCCAGTATCGGTTTCATATGTCCAGACCTTCCAGTTCCCACTATCAATTTGGCTGTCACATTTTGCACCAACTGCAGCTTCTACTGCATCTTTAAAGACAGGCTTGCACAGAGCGCATTGCAGTAATCCAACCTGAAGCTAGCCAAGACAGGGGCGCGAGCTGCCTGGGCATAATCCTTCCTACCTTATGTGCTCCGTAAGGGCAGGAGCGCTATGTGTACATCCCTTGGCTTATGTGGACATGAGGAATGAATCGCCTTTTCTTCACCGTTTAGGGAAAATGTGTTTTCATTTGCAGTGATCCCAGATCGTCCTGTCGGACTCAACTGGACCATGCTGAACACCAGCCCACTGGGCATCTACGCAGATATCCAGGTCACCTGGAAGCCCCCACCTTCTGCTGACGTTCAGAATGGATGGGTCACATTGAACTACCAGCTGCAATACAGAGAAGTGAATGAGACAGAATGGAAGGAGGTATGGAAGGAGTGGGCCTCGAAGACCAGAAACGTCCCATCCTCAAAAAGGGAATGTCCCATTTATTCACTACCCAGTGAATAGTGCTTACAGTGCTTTCTTTAAAAAAAAAAAGTTTATTTCCCTTTGGTCAATCTATATCCACCTATAGTAAATTATGTAGAACAGGTACTTTATATATTTGTGTGGCTATATGTGAGCATATATGTATACATATATATTATCAATAATACTTTCAAAACCAGTTCAGTGTTTCTCTGATTGTTATTGTCTGGCTGTATGTTTTTGTTTGTTGTTTGTTTTGTTTTTCCCCTTTTTCCCTGCATATGTGTTTGTGATTCTACTCTGGTTTTGTATTCTCGGTGGTTTTTAGCTGATGTTTGGCATTGTTGGGGGATTGTGGAAGTGGGTAGAAATTGTGAATATTTTTTTTAAAAAAGATTTCTTGCATTTCTTCAAACCTTGGGTTTTGCCCAAGTCTGCTGATATTTCTCTCTTGTGCATGGGTGATGCTGGTTTAACTACCGAAGCATCAGTACTCACAGTCTAAGCATCGCAAATAGAGACAATGATGTTGTAGATCAGCTGTGGAACATCGCATTGGTGACACGCAGTGTAGTCATGTCATGTGGATCTTAGGTTGCCCAAGTCACTATAAAGCATATATTACTGGGGAAATAAATATACATCAAAGATAGAAGGTTGGAACCAGACTTAAGTGTACATGCAGAAAAATGTCACCACCTAACTTTTAGGGATGCTGACTTCTCCCTGCACCACAGCCTAGCCTTTCCTCAGAACTCCCAAAATCTCTGTAGCTTTTTTGGAGAGCTGCTGTGGGAATTGGGGGATGTGGAAGGGTATGTTAGGAAAACAGGGCCCGATGCAGACTTTTTTGCAAGACCAACATACAATTAAAAATCACATAGTTTATAGCTTTCTCTGGCCAAAATTCTCAGAATATTCAGTGTTCCTTTCCTGTGGTCTTCTAAAAGAATTCAAAAGAATTAGATAGAGTTTAAATCAGAAGTTCTCAAACTGTGATCCACAGGTCATGGTGTGGTGTGCAGAAAAGTTGTGAAATAGTTGCAAAAAATGTATTTGATCTCATCCTTGATTTGTCTTGTTGTTGTTGTGAAGATAGGATTGAGAGGAGGAAGAGAATTGTGTAAGCTGCCTTGAGTTCCTTGAAAGGAAAAAGGCAGGTTATTAATAAATTAATAAATACTCTTTGAGTCCAATTCTGTAGTCAACCATGGATCTACCAGATAGTTGTTGCATCTATCCTGCTTTTAACTAGTTTGGTAATCAGGATATCATGGGGCACTTTTCAAAAGCCTTGCTGAAGTCAAGATATATTATGTCCACAGTATTCCCACAATCCACAAGGGCGGTTACCTGATCAAAACAACAAAATCAGATTAGACTGGCAGGATTTGTTCTTGACAAATCCATGTTGACTTCTGCATTGTTTTCAAGGTGTTTGCAGACTGAATGATTTGCTCCAGAATATTCCCAGGGACTGATGTCAAACTGACTGGTTTGTAGTTACCGATTTCCTTCTTTTCCCATTTTTTAAGACAGGACATTAGCCCTCCTCCAGTCCTCCAGCACTTCACCCATCTGCATGATGTCTCTAAGATAATAGTGGTTCTGGAAGCTCTTCTGCCATTTCTTTTATTACTCTAGGATGCAATTCATTGGACTCTGGAGATCTGAACTTGTTCAAAGTCCTTAGGCAGTCTTCAGCCATTTGCCTATCAATCTCAAGTGGCCGCTCTGTCCCTTCAGCTTGTCTTCCCCTTTACCAGGGATTTCATAGAACCTCTTTTGAGAGAGGACTGAGCCAAAGTAGTATTGAGTACTCCTCTGTCATCCTCAATGGGATTTCTGAAATCTCATTGAGATAAAGGCACAGTCAAACATTTGATTTCTCATTACAGCTGGAGCCAAAACTCGCCACAGCATTTCCCATCTATGCACTGAAGACATGCCATGATTATGAGATACGAGTCCGAGCACAAGGAATGCCTGAAATTTATGGAGAGTTCAGCGAAGTGCTTTATGTGTCTTTTGGGTCAATGGCTATAATGCCATGTGAGGAAGGTAAGTGAGAGTGTGTATGAGAGATACTAGGCCAGGAGCATGAGGACAAGTAAATTATTCCTCCTCCTTGTGAACATAAACTCAAAAGATTGCAGTTAAGGCTCTAGATCAGAGATGGGGAGCCTTTTTCAGTTCTTAGGTGGAAGTGATTCCAGGCAAGTATATTGAGGACCACACAATGGACGCCGCATCATCCCAAATTGGGAGGCTTTCAGTCGCAAGGATCAGAGATGCAGCAGGTGGGCAGGTGGAACCTCTTAGGACCGTAGTCACCTGGGCCAGAGGGCCCTTTTTCCTGCTCTGGACAAGACTGTAAATGTACAAGTGTGCCAGGACTCCGTGCCAGGACCAGGCTTGTGTGTTCTTGGACAGAATAAGGCCTCTCATCAAGCACGTTCCTCCTGGACCTTGTCATACTTTGTGGCCTTCTTCAGAAAAAGTAATGGGTATATAAACATGGCTTGCTGCATTCCTGAGTGTATGGGGCCAAACTTACTTTCAATATTCCTTCCTCCTTGTGGAGCACTGTGGCTTAGCAAAAGCAAGGCTTCCCTTCATTTTAGACTGCTACTGAGTTATTAAATTGAAAGGCGTCTGATGCAGGGAACTGCCAGATAATTCAGTGAAAATTTCAACCTACAGACCCATATTTCATTTCCATATATAGCCACCATGTTCTGAAAGCCAGGGTGGTGTGATGGCTGGAATGCTGGACTGCAACTTGGGAGATCTAGGTTTGATTCCCCACTTAGCCATAAAGCTCACTGGGTGACTTAGTACCAGTCACTCAGCCCGATCCACCCCACATGGGTCTTGTTATGAGGGTAAAATAGAGAGGAAGAGAACCTTGAAAGCCACCTTGGGTAACTTGCAAAAGGAAAAATGATGGGATATCAATGCAATGTTTTGAAGATAATTTCCCCAACTTTCATTATATGGCAACAGTTTTTCAAGATGGCATTTTACACATGAATAAAACCACCATAAGTGATATGGAAGATAGGTCAAAATATTGCTATTGTTTAGTATGTTCAGTTAAAGACCTCTCCAAGAAAATAAACAATAGATTAATGACACATTGTTTTGTTTTCCCATTTAGTAAGCTAAGAAAAAGCATCATTAATAACACAGTCAGAAAAACCTAGGGGCTTTTCTACATGAGGCTTTTAACCCACCACTTTAGTTAGATGGTCTAACATTCATATGAAACTTGCATCTTTAAAAAGGGGGACTGTTCAGACACTTCATTTCATTTATTACATTTATATGCTGCCCCATAGTCCATAGGGTTCTCTGGGCAGCTAAAACAAAAATACATATTCCATAAAAATACAATAATACAATCAGGCAATACCATATTTAATTGTGATTTAATTGTGAAATCAAAACAAAACTTAATACAAAATATAATACATAATACAATACAATACATAATACATTGAATAATATCAACAATAATAAGATATAGCTATAATCCCACCCACCTACCCCCCACAGACAAAGCCCATTTACCCATCCGTACAGTTAAAAAAACAAAGCCACACAATCCTGTGTGGGTTACACCCACATCCAACAGGGCAATCCAAAAGGCTCACAAAAAGGGCCCAGTTGCGAAGTCTTCCACCCAGAAGGCATACCTGGTGTGGCGCAGCTCCCTGCTCTCGGCCGGCTCCTTTTGAAGTGTCTCTCCTTGCCCTCTCCTCCTCGACAGTGCTACCAATTCTTCTGCAAACGGCAATGCCGGCTGAGGCTGAGCTGGAGACCCTGCGGGGAGCACAGGTGGCCCCCGTGCTGGTCTGCGGCAGGCGGGAAGGGCCAGCGGAAGCAGCAAGCCCTTGTATTCCTTCCAAACAATATTAATTGTTGGGTTGGAAGGAAACAAATCATTTGGCTGCTGGTATTTCTGCTTAGGTGCCACAGTCCGGTAACTGATCCTAGTGATTTTGCTGGTTCCAAGCAAACCACTGAAAGACCCAACTAAGTACAGCATAAAATTAGACTTATATTCCAGGAAGAGCTGGTTAGATCTGAAGCAAAGATGAAGCAGGACAGAGTCTGTGATATTTAAATAGTTGGAATGGGCAATTGAAAGCTTTGGTATTCAGAGCAAATGTTACCAAAAATGCTACTAGTTCGAGTAGATATAAATTAATGTTCTTTAATGCAATGGTGTAGAAAGATTTGGCACTGTGCTTAAAGGAAAATAAGGAAAACTGCAAAATGATACGAATCTGTTTTTGTTGTTCTGTTCGTCAGAATTCCAGGTTCCTTGGCCTTTGGTGATGGCCTTTGGAACACTTGGCCTGATGCTGATGTTGTCTCTAGTTCTCTTTTCTAAGCAGCGGAAGTAAGTATTGCTACATTGACTAAATTATACGTGAGCATATGTCTCTCTCGAAACATCTGATTCATCAGTTCATACATTTCTGTCACTTTTCTGTAAAACTTGATAAACTCTGTTACTGCAAAGATTGGTGGGGCAAACAGATTCTTCAGACACAGTTGTTTGGATAGATGTGGTTGCTGCTATTCTGTCCTACCAAATGGGTCCCAGGAGTGATGGTGGCCTGGCAGAGAAGCAAGTCATCCTCGTGGGCAGTGTGAGAAGAGGGTAAGCTGGAGACAGTGTCTTGCTGAGGACAAAGGGCTTGCCCCTCTGCCTCCTTCCCCTCCCCACCACAAGGACCCAGTGGTTACTTGTAGGAACAGCACTTTCAGAACGCACAGTGCGTGTAACACATCATTCTCTGTGCTCGGAGCTTTACTGGCAGGCCCGTGAGGATATGTCCACAGGTTTTGGGGAAACCCTACATTTGCAGAGGTGCAAGCCAGTATTTTCCTGTAAGGCAGCAGGGACTCAGCATGCTCAGGCGGCTGACTGATTACTGGGAGAAGGGATACAACAGAAAATGGAAGGGTGTATTCTGGAAGAGGGCATCATTGACTAGCATCATTGACTAGTAGCACCCCACACTGCAACACACAATGCTGTTCTGGTTTTGATTCCAGTTGTCATAACAGATTGATAAGCTGGAAAGTACAGAAAGGATGTTTATCTGGAGATTGCCTGGATAAGAAGCAGTGGGACTTGCACTGGGGAGAATTTGCTTGCAATGGGAACATTAATGTGGCAGATATGACTAATGATGGTTTTGGAAACTGCCACATGCACCTTATGTATCCACCCATTCTACCCACAATATTTCACCACGCAGGCAAAATAGGAAGGATAAATAAACATTCCATAGCAGCAATTTCCATATTGTTTATTAGATGATCCTGATGAAACACTAATGATCAAAGGTATGCATATTGTGGAAAAAGTGGATAGGGATACATTTCCCCCTGCCCCCCCCCCCAGTACAAAAATCCCAAAGGGTCATCCTTTGAAATGGGATAGCTCAAAGGCAGTTCTTCAGACAACACATAGTTAAATTATGGAACTCACTTCCACAAGATGTACTGATGACCACCAATGTGGGTGACTTGTCCGGGACCGGACAAATCCTGCAGGATAAGGCTGTCAATGGCTTCTAGCCCTGTTAGCTATAGGATACCTCCTGTAGCAGAGGCTGTATACCCATACATACCAATTGCTGGGGAAGATGACGACACTCCTGTCCTGGTTGTGAGTTTCCCATGGGCAGCTGATTGCCACTGTGTGAACAGATGGCAGCACTTGGCCTGATCCAGCATGACTGTTCAGATGTTCTTATGTGATGCTGGAGCCATATACGTGCATGAAATCATGCCTGGTGATTTCATGTGAACATATGACTTGTCCCTCAGAAATGTGGACTTCTGATAGGGGTGGTTTCATAGCCCCAGTTTGCCAGTGGCCCAGGGTTGGGTCAAACAGTTAAACAGGCTTGCCTGCAACTGAATAGATAAGACCATTTGAGGAAAAAAAACTGTTTTGGTTTCTATAATGCTCTTGAACCCTAGAGTGGGAGGGCAGTTTAAAAAGAAGTTGTTAGAAGAAGCAGGAGAGAACTATCCTTGCCTGAAATATGGATGATTCAAATAAAACCATGTTAAAGATGACCACTTTTACAGTTATCTGTTGGTTCTGTACTGGGCTTGATTCCCAAATGATGTCAATAATGATGCAGTTTGTACAGAGGGAAAATAAACAGACTTCTAGCGTAATTATCAGGATCCAGTAAAGCCGTTATACAGCAGTAGAAGCCTCAGGGCCAAACTGACCTCAACTGCATATTTTAATTTGATTTGCAAGCTTTAAAAATGTGAACAGGATCCACTGAGAAGGCCTGATAACAGTGAGGGAGGATGAGGACTGTGGTAGGCAAGGGGGGAATTTAACTGTTTCTTGTCACACTTTTTAGATAAATTTCTAAGTTTTTGGCTGGTACTGGTTCTGGGAAAAACTCTTCACTCCATTCTCACCAATGTCATTCTTTCTGGTGTGAATAGAAATTCAGCAAAGGGAATTTCCTCAGGACCAGAACAGGGGAGGAAACAGTTAAATTCCCAACCCATACTTGCTGGAACCATAAAGTTTTTCAGCTCCAGCCCCAACATACATTGCTGGAAAGCTAAATGCTGTTTAACATCGGGGTAGCTAGCTCTCATTGTGGAAGTATTCCATGAAAAACTGCCTGAGATTAACATATAGATATTGCTTTTGCTACAGCTATCAACCAATTTAGGAATTTAAATTGATTAATCTAATGTTTTTTATCAGAGTGATAAAATTTCATTTATATTTATTTGTATACACCAATATTTCACTATCAGTGTCTTTCCTAAATACTGGATGGAATGATCTATTTGGCTGTCAAGCAGTATGGCAATGAAATAAATAAATAAATAATTTTTCCCATTCGTCTATTAATTTAATTACAAAAGGACTACTTACGTCAGGTTGGGACAGAACTATGAGGGAGTCTGCAAGTCCCACTGACATGCAGGGCTAATTCTCAAAAATAAATCTGAATGGTTCGGGACTTGAGTGCCAGCTTGACAGAAGCGGAATGGCCCGGGGTGGGGTCCAGCATGCTGCAGGTGGGTTGCCCTGTGGAGGAGGCAGCTGTCTGCTGGCTTCACAATACTCTTAATGCAGCCCTTATCCTCCACCCAAGCTATTTACATAATATATTGTGTGCATTAGCCCTTAATCAGATTGAGAGTGTTGGTACTGCTCTTGGCCTTCCTTAGTGGTGAACATCCTGGGTCAACCTGATAGCTCTTTGCTACTTTCCCATACATTCTGGTAACAAATGCATCAAGTTTGAGCTTGGTCTTAGATCAGTGGTAACAGTTTATATGTTCATGTAACCAACAGGTTGGTTGAATTACAGAATTAGCAGGAACCTCTGAAGGCCACCACATTTAACTTTTCAGTGAGCATTTTATCCCTGTAAGGTAAAGGTAAAGGTTTCCACTTGATGTCAGGTCCAGTCATGCCTGACTCTGGGGAGCGGTGCTCATCTCCGTTTCCTAGCCGAGGGAGCCAGCGTTTGACTGCAGACAGTCTCCATGGTCATGTGGCCGGCATGACTAAACACCTAGGTGCACGGAACGCTGTTACCTGCCCACCGAAATGGTACCTTCTTATCTGCTTGCATTTGCATGCTTTCGAACTGCAAGGATGGCAGGAGCTGGGACGGAGCAACGGAAACTCACCCGTTGTGCAGGTTCGAACTGGTGACCTTTCGATCAACCAGCCCAGCAGCACAGCAGTTAAAACCACTGCGCCACCTGCATCCCTGTAAATAGGTGTTCAAAACAGAGCAAAACTATGGGAGGGAATTTACATATATTGGAAATCAGTTATTTGGTTATGAAAGTACAGAAGATGAAGTTCTCATACAGTGAAGTTGACCTTTGCTGAAAACCAGAATCAGTGCTGATTGAATTCACAATTATTCATGCATTTCTTTTTTGTTGGCTTTTACTTTTTATTGGTTAATGTTACTAATAAGAAAAGTTATAGTCAACTGTCTATTTAAGATCATCCACACTATTGTATTCCCACTCAATATGAATGGATGTGAAAGCTGACAGGACAAAAATTGATGTGTTCAAAATATGGTGATGGAGGAGGGCTTTGCAAATACCCTGGAGCAGCAGCGAGACAAACAAGTGGGTGCGAGATCAAATCAAGCCAGAACTTGCCTTGGAAGCAAAAATAACAAAACTCAGGCCATTGTACTTGCAAGACTCACTGGAAAAGAAAATAATGCTAGGGAAAGTCAAAGGCAGAAGACGAGGAAGGGGAAGACCAGCTATAAGATGGATAGATTCCATAAACGAAGTCACAGCCTTGGCTTTGATTGATTCAAAATTGAGAAAGGAGCTCAGCAAGGCTGTATACTGTCACCCTGCCTATTTAACTTATATGCAGAGCACATCATGAGAAAGGTGAGGCTAGATGAATCACCAGTTGGAATTAAGATTGCCGGGAGAAATATCAACAACCTCAGATATGCAGATGATACCACTCTCATGGCAGAAAGTGAAGAGGAACTAAAGTGCCTCTTGATGCGGGTGAAGGAGGAGGGCACAAAAGTTGGCTTGAAACTCAACATTAAGAAAACAAAGATCATGGCATCTGGTCCTTTCACTTCCTGGCAAATAGATGGGGAAGAAATGGAGGTAGTGACAGATTTTATTTTCCTGGGCTCCAAGATCACCGCAGATAGGGACTGCAGCCAAGAAATTAAAAGATGCTTGCTCCTGGGGAGGAAAGCTATGGCAAATGTAGACAGCATACTAAAAAGCAGAGACATCACCTTGCCAGCAAAAGTGTGTCTAGTCAAGGCTATGGTTTTCCCAGTTGCAAAGTATGGCTATGAAAGCTGGACCATAAGGAAGGCTGAGTGCAAAAGGATTGAGGCCTTTGAATTGTGGTGCCGGAGGAGACTCCTGCGAGCCCCTTGGACTGCAAGTCGATCAAACCAGTCAGTCCTAGAGGAGATCAACCCTGACTGCTCTTTAGAAGGCCAGATACTGAAGATGAAACTCAAATACTCTGGCCACCTAATGAGGAGGAAGGACTCCCTGGAAAAGAGCCTGATGCTGGGAACAATAGATGGCAAAAGAAGAAGGGGACGGCAGAGGATGAGGTGGCTAGATGGAGTCACTGAAGCAGTTGGTGTGAGCTTGAGTGGACTCTGGGGGATGGTAGAGGACAGGAAGGCCTGGAGGAGTGTTGTCCATGGGGTCGCGATGGGTTGGACATGACTAACAACAACAACAAACAACTGAGATACTTGCCAATCTACTGCAGATCACCCAGAGATCATGCCATGAATTCTGACCTGTCTTCTACCTACCCACATTGTAGAAAAAGATGCCTTTTCTTCATGATTTTGGATCTGCCAGGTCTGGGTCAACAATGCCCACACATTTAACAAAATACTACCAAAATATGCAAATTTGTTGTATTATTTATGATGTATTATTTCTGTTCTTTTTTCCAAATTAAAAGTTATTATTTCTTTTCAAGGTTAAAGATACTGATTTTTCCTCCTGTTCCTGTGCCTAAAATTAAAGGAATTGATCCAGATCTCTTAAAGGTAATTGGGAGTTGGTGGATTGAACAACATTAATGCTTATGGCTACTGTTAGTACTACGGAGGCCTATAATGATGCACGAAGGGTTTGTGTAACCTGACACCTTTCTCAGGAGGGTGGGATCAAGTCTTCTACCTCTAGTCCGGGTGACATTTGGGATCCTCAAATTATGCAGTCAATGGCACACCCATAGTTCTACCTCAGGAAACAGGTGTGCTGTAGTACATAGGTTGGGACTTTACATGTATATAGAATACGTATACATGTAGTTGTTACATTTATATCCCGCCTTTCTTTCTCTTACAACTAACCTAAGGCAGCTTACAAGGTCCTCTGATTCTCCAATGCATCCTCAAAACAGACGCCTGGGAGGTAGGTTAGGCTGAGTCAGTGCCTGGTCCAAAATCCCCTAGAGTTCTTCATGGCCAAATGGGGATGAGAATGGAATCTCCCAAGCCCCAGTCTAACACGATTAGCACCACCGCATATGTGTTGACAGAATCACATCATCACTGTTCTTTTCATGCTGTTTTGCTTTTGAAATTTCTTTTGCAGAAAGGAAAGCTTGATGAAGTCAACTCCATCTTGGCCAGTCATGGTAGCTACATGCCACAGCTGTATGGAGATGACTCTTGGGTGGAGTTCATTGAACTGGATTTAGATGAGGCTGAAGAGAGGACTGAAGGGTTGGATACTGACCGACTTCTTGGCGATGACCACTTGAAGTCCCACGGCTGCCTCGGCGTGAGGGATGATGACTCTGGCCGGGCCAGCTGCTGTGAACCTGATATCCCAGAGACAGACTTCAGTGCAAGTGACACATGTGATGGAACCTCAGATGTTGACCAGTCCAAAAAGGCAAGTGATAAAGAGGAGGATCTCTTGTGCCTTAATCAAAAAGAAAGTGAGGAGAAGCCAGAGTCAGATCTTAATGATGCATCTACTCAGGTGCCATCAGATGACCCAGCCAAAGACAAGCAGCCCAAAGTCCAAGGTTCTGTCACTGGCAGTGCAGAGAGTACCAGCCAACCCGTCCAAACCCAGCTAAGCAACCAGAGTTCAGTGGCCAACATTGACTTTTACACACTGGTCAGTGACATTACACCAGGAGGAAGTGTTGTGCTCTCTCCAGGACAAAAAATGAAGATGGGGAGAGCCCAAGGTGGGGCTCAAAAAGAACCAGTTGTACAGTGCCAACCAAGCTTTGCCATGGACAGTGCCTATTTCTGTGAGTTGGATGTGAAAAAATGTGTCACTGTGACGCCTCAGCAAGAGGCAGAGCCAGAAGTTCAAGAGCAAAGCTTTCGTGATGATGCTTACTTCGACGGCGAGAGCCTTACCCTGAGTGCTGTGAACCCTGCTACAGCAGCAGCAGCAGCAGCAGCAGCAGCAGCAGCAGCAGCAGCAGCAGCAGAGAAAGAAGGAGGAGGGGGAGGAGGAAAAGAAGAAGAATGTTCAGAGATGCCTGTGGCGGACTATACCTCTATTCATGTAGTACAGTCCCCACAAGGCCTTGTGCTCAATGCCACACCTGTCCCTGTACCAGACAAGGAGTTCCTTGTATCTTGTGGTTATGTGAGCACAGACCAACTTAACAAGATCCTGCCATAGCTTTCTTTCCCTTGCCTGTGCAGCAAATAGCATCATCCTTCTCAACCCACACAACCATGAGGCTCCAAAACACATATGGAGCTCTCCAACAGCAGGAGCTTCCTGACTGACTTCAGTATTACAGACAATGTCTCAGAACATTGCCAACACTTGCATGAATGTGAGAACTCATGTTCATGTGGAGGTCCATATGCGTATTGGAGTCCCTGCATACTCATTTGGAGCCTTTGAATTGGGGCGCGCATATATATATATATATATATATATATATATATATATATATGCGCTCACGCATTCTTAGAGCTGGTATGGCATGTGTATGCTTAAACCAAAACAAATATCCTCAATAGTTACACCAAGCTGGGCTGCAGCCCCTTCCATTTTAACCTGCAATGTTGAATCAAACACAGTATTGCTGTTGTGTATTGTATATATCGTCTTATGAAATGTCGTTGGAGCTTGTTCAGTAGCAATGTTCGTTATTGTAGCTGATGATTTTGAGATGAACACATTGAATGACAATGTGATGTGTCATAAATCATCTTTATTCAAAAAGCTAATATCAGGTTGGAATTTCAATATTTGGTGTTCAGTCATACCATATGCTGAGATGTGTTTATACTGGAAACTGGAGAATGAAACATGGAGTAGGGAAGCAAAAATAGTTAGGTTAAATAATACATTTATTTTGATCTACATAAATACAAACCTATTTTAATATGTTACACAAGCAGGGATGGGTACTTTGTATTTACAGTGCACACTGTAGTTTAATTATAATGATCCATCTATGGAATGAATCTGCTTTAATCCATTGTAGAAATTTTTAAAAAATAATATATGGATACAATATTTTTTACAGAAAGTTTTTATATCTCCACCAAAGCTAAAGAGAACTAAAGTTGCAACACTATCAGGGCCTAAGTGTTTCTTAAGAGTCCTTTCATACCTTTTATAAATTGAAATGTGTATAATTAATATTTTCTGTCACCAGATATTCCTTCCTTGTTGAACCAACGTATCACACAGTTTGTATAGCAGTAAAAAGTAAAACAGATTTGGATTTCTGGGGGCCTTTCAGGAACACAATCACACTTTCGTGGAACATTTAGAATCGTACAAGAATAAGCACTGGTGACTTGACAACACTGTTCTTCACAAAGAATCCTTAAGTCTTTACTCATAACATTATCAAGGACCTTAGCATTAACATGGAGTGAAAGCCAAGTCAGGGACTCCAGGTTATTTTAAAGTTCAGACTCTGAATTAAATAAAGTTGCAGAACCCAATACAGTATTGTGAACAATGCAATGTTTATGTTTTGCATGTTCTGCGCTAATGAAGCTGTAGTAGAAAGGCTTTAAAGAAGTAATGTAGCTTAAGCCTTATTTATATTTATCAGTTTTTTCTTGAGGTACGCCTTAACATTCTTCAATTGCAAATTTTGTTTACATAATTAGGGGTTAAATTCAAGGGTTAAAATCAAAGGCCTTTTCAAACATGCAAGTCCTGTCCCGCATCCCTCCTCATGTTTATTTTCCCTATGTTGTCTTACAGTCCAGAGTGTGTGCTGTGTAGAGTCTGCAGGGGCTGATACCTGACTCTCGACATGGCCAGCTCAGACTTCCTGAATTCAGGGACTTGAGCTGAGAGCTGGAGCCAAGGCTCAGCCTTCGAGGCTCCCAGTGTAAAAGTTCAAGTCATACAAACCTGTCCAATGCCAGATCAACCCACAGTTCCATCTTGCCCAGTATTATCCACTCCTCCTGACAGGAGGTCTCCAGGGTCTTTAGTACAGAACTTTTGTGTTACCTGTGATCTGAGCATTTTTCCAAACCGGAGATGGCAGGGATCCAACCTGGGACCTTTTGTAGGCATAACACGTGCTCTAACACCAAGCCAGAGACAATGGGCAATGGGTACAAAGCTGTGCCGAGAAGTCTTACCATGAACCAGCTGTGCCGAGAAATCTTACCATGAACAGTAATGACACAGGGACAGTCATTGCTGTTCCCTTGACTGAGGTAGCTGTGAAGGGTGCACGCCCGCGATCATCCAGATGGCCACTGGCTATACTGCCACATTCGTATTCATATGCAACTGAGTAGAGAACACAAGAAGGACTTACAGGTATAAATTGGACTGAACAAGATTTCAAAAGGAAAGGAATTCACGGGGGTTCTTCTTTTTCACTGTGGATATTTTTAAGACAGGAGCAGGCCATCAAAGTCTGTGGCTCTCTCAAAAGCTGTGATTGTGGAATGTGGAATGCAAGCACCTTCCTAGAAATGTGTTTGTACTGGTTGGTTGGTTGGTTGTCTGCCTATCTGTTTTTCTAACGGGATGAAGGACGACATTTGGACCCCCGGTTACTAATGCTCGCTTTAGGCCCAGTCTACCCATATTTACTTGAAAGTAATTCCCACTGTGTGCCCTTGGCCTGATTCCCTAGTGTGCTTTATGATTGCAGCCTTAAGCAGGGAGAAGACCCAGAGGGCTCCCATGGGACCGTCTTCTGATAGACATGCTGAGGATCACACTGTTGCAGTTATATCCGGGTTACACATTGCACAGGAACTGAGCAATGGCCTCTGATTATTTAGAATGTTGAGGGCTCTCTCCCAGCAATTGAGAAAAGCTGGAGGAGCTTTGTTTTCAAACTGTGATTGTAATTAATAGCCAGGCTTTGTGAGTGTATCATGTTGGAAGGCAGGAAACAGGCAAACAGACAAGAAAGTCCCTGACCCTGACTATTCTGGCTAGGCGCTGTTCCTCCCTATGAGAAGGAACTGCCTGGATCTCAGGTGAGTAGAGCCTCACAGAAAGACATGAAAGCAAGCTCTAGCAGTGACCTGAAAGGGTTTCTTGGTTTGTTTTTGAAGTGACAGCAAGTTTAATCTCAGACAACAGTTATACATTTTAAAATCCTGGCATTCTGGGGTTCATGTAAGTAAGCCTTGAGAAGCAAATCATATGTGTAAGCTGTTTTTAAAGAATGAATGTAGGTCATTATTTACTTCAGAAATAATCTTTTCTGATGTACCCTTTATTTTAACAAGTATATCCATATTTAAGCAGCAAGTATATGTTGACGGATATTGACTTCTCATGGCTGGAACTAGGAAGTTCGTACCTGGCTTGTGCTTTTAAAATGATCCTTATTAGATATTCTCCTAACTTGCTGTTATATTTTTTCTAACAGCTGCTTGCTTTAGTTTTAGGCATGGCAATAAGGACACAATCCTATGCATCTTTAGACAGAAAATAAATCATAGGCGGCTTGCTGGGGATACTGACTTTTTTCTATCTAAAGAGGCATACAATTGTAGCCTAACAGTATGTAAGGGAGGCAAATGACTCTTATGCTACATGTCTCTTGAGTGTTTCAATCACCAAAAACTAGTTAAATACCTCAATCAATCTCAGAATGTCACTTGGGTACTTTGCTGGTCACACAAGCCATTATACCACAGTATGAAGATGTGCGTCTTTTTTGTTTATATTTAACTTGCCTTATGTCAGTGTTCTCATTTTCTCTTCAAAGTTTAATAAATTTATTTTCTTCAATCCATCATGACATTGTTGCATATTTTATTACAGAACCTTTACAAAGGGTGAAGATGCACTTCAGCTCTTATCAAAATTTATTTTCCTGTCACCAGTTTGCAAATGTCATTCATGGGCTGTAAGCATCAGCCATATGGTCAAGACTTAAAGAGCATGAGTATTAGCCGTAAGAAATTTCAGGCTGCACAAACTCCCAGTGCTTATGCTTATATAAAATCCATATTAAAAACAATACTAACATTTAAAATACTGGGAAATTAAAAAGGTTTTGGCCTGGTGCCAAAATGAAAAAAGCATTGAGGCCAGGCACACCTTTCTGGGGAGTGTGTGTGCTTGAGAGAGGGGATCCGTAGCAAGGGAAAAGCGACCAGTTTGTACAATATGCCAACTGTGTGTTATTTAATGCATGGGGAAGCAAAGGCATTTTCTGGCTGCTGTTTTGCTTACTGAAGCCCCACTTGGTGGTTGTGTTGTGGAAACCCAGCAAGTGTGGGTTATGCAAGGGTTATGCACATACTAGCCTACTGTGGGTTCTTTAAACCATGGTGGGGCAATGAAGTCTGCAGAGTGCTTGTGGTTATGCAAGGGTTAAACAAAAGCAGACTATGGGTTACATATAGCTCACCCTCCCCAGGTCTGCATGGTTTAGAACAATGCCAGATAGGTACTCTGTTGCTCATATTTCTTGATATGAAGAAATATGAGCATCACAGCTTGTTAGCATGGTGAAATGTATATTTGTCCATTGATAACAGTAGAAGTACTGACCCGAATCTAGAGATATTTCATTTTATCTATTGCTGAAGTTCTCCTGAGAAAATGAGGTAATTCCTCACAGCTCCAAAGGAATGATTAATGGATGAAGTCGCTCTGCAGTAAGTATCATAATGCAATTTTGCTTTAAAGCAAAATGACAAGCCTAGACTAGAACTGGATTTTATGTATTTATTTATTTCTTATATGTATATCCTGCCCTTTTTCCTTTAAGGCAGCGTACGCCATTCTGCTCCTCTCAATATTATCCTAACAAGAACAACAGCCCTGTGATGTAGGTTGGGCTGAGAGTCTGTGACTGGCCCAAAGTCAGCTAGTTACCGCCACAGTAACCAACTATCCACTCGTTCAGGGAATATCTGAAAGGCAGGTCTGAAGGAAAGCCAAGGCACATCCAGCAGGCTTCCCTGTTGCTGACATTTTCTCAATACACAGGTGAGGGCACGCAGGTGAGGAAGAGAGACATACCTGTTGGTGGGATGCTGGGTCAGCAAGAACAACCTGTTCATTCTCCTTGTGCTGTTTAGAGGCAATGCCTGTAAAGGGGTGGAACTGATCCTTAGTTTTTTCATGAGTAGGGGTAAATTATTAATACATGCATTAAACAAATAGGAAATAATGTTTGTTGTCACAGTCTGGAGCCTTTGCAACTGCTGGGGTTACTCCCAGTTGAGCAGACTGGCCTGCCACTTTACATGAGGTTATGACAGACAGAAAAAGAAAGAAGGCTTTCTATCAAACTTGGGACTCTTTTTATTATTGGCTAGAGAAATGAGACTTTGTATAGATTTAAATATGTTTTTAAGTTATCATAAATAGAAAAAAAATGTGGGGGCTGACCCAGCAGGTCCGATGTTTCTGATGATTGATGTTGTTTTTAGTTTTCCTTTGTTTTAGGGTTATTTTGAATAAAACTTAGAAAAGAAAGGAAAGAAGGCTGAGCTTGTTAGGCCTTGCAAAGAATCAGTCAGAAAATCCACTTCATATGTTCTTCTTTACTAACATCTCTGAGTAGGACCCATTAAGCTGATTCCCCACAGTGCATTCAATGAAGCAGTCTAAACATGTCTGTGTTTGTTCTGATGCCATTTAATGTTTCTAGGCACTAACTGATGCAATTATCCACCTAAGCTTGCAAGCAGGTATTGTAAAGACAACAATTTGTAGACCTTGGATTTTAAAAGTCCAGAGACTGCTGGGAGTAGGCGAACTGAGAACTTGTTGATGGTGAACAAAACTCCATTATTACTGATAGTTCAACTTTTGACTTGTTCTCCTCCCTTTTTCAGCATATACTATCACCTCTTTCTTCCAGGCTGTGGGAACTTCAAAGCTATTTCCTACTCGCTTTTGCTAGTAGAGAAATGTATCACACAAACAGTTGTCCCAAGGTATGGCTCTGAACCTCATATACACTGTGCAAATTTTAACAGAACTAAATCCAAAACATGGTGACAATCCTTACTAATAGGATTTGTGACTGGGGCAGGGCTCACTGTAATGTGAATCCTGGTTATATGACCAATGGGCTCTCTGCCAGAGCCTCACCACTCAACAGGGCCCAGGAATCATTGTGCTCATACATAAGCGTTGCATGTATTTCCAAACACCAACTGACATAATTCCTGAACTGAAGTGATTTGTCATTCATGCTTCTACTTCCTTGCCAGAGGGAATCACGCACCGTGCATTCTCATCTTCCCATGCTGTGATGATTCTATTTAATTTTTAAGGCATTAGTATACTGCCATTCATACAAATATAACAAGGGCCAGCAGCATTGTTTTAATTGCATGGCCTACTGTGCCAAACAGAAGAAAAATGAATGGCTATTTCCAGTGATGTAATGCCTATAAGCAACCCTGCCTCAGGGTGCAAGCAGGACTCACTGATACCAGCTGCCACAACCAAGAATAAAATGACCCATTTCCTCAGTCCTCAAACATTCTGGGTCTCTTGGGGACAACTGACTAAGGATGCCGCTGGGATCCTTTGTGCAGGACTTCTCCGAAGTCCACCTAGAATCATAGAATAGTAGAGTTGGAAGGGGCCATGAAGGACACCACATTACACAGCAGGGAGGCACAGTTAGAGGAGCACAGCTAGGTTTCAGGCTGCATGCAGTAAGTTGTGTGCGTCCTGAGTGCTGCCACAGCACAGCATGCCCCCAAAACATGCTGTGTCTTTTGTGAGCCTCTCCACTTTCACCCCAAAAGCACACAGACTGAGTCTTGGTGAACACAGGGTGAAAGTTCTATTACGGATCCAGGAAAAAGTGTAGAATAGGAAAGAGGTTGGTTAGATTCTGAAGACATGCTGAGAAGTGGTTTAAAGAGGCAAATCAGTTTCACTGCACAAATAATGTGCAGTGCCAAGAAGCAAATCAATGGCAAAGTACAGAAGAAGAAAATATGGTCTAGGTAGCACAACCTTGCACTAAGCTGCTAAGAGGAAGAGGAACATAGAAGTCGCCTTAGGTCCCTTGCAAATATAATTAATCAGTAAATAATCCCAGTAAACTGGAACTAGGGGCTGACAGGTTGTGACTCCAAGCAGACATGGACCCTGACACCTCATTTTCCATTCTTGGGAGGGGGCATCTCAGGTGTGGTGGTGGGAGTGTCAAACTGGGGACCTGGGTGACCTGGGTTCTTGTCCACATTGAGCTATGAAGCCCCTTGGGTGACTCCTAAGCCTTTGTTTGGCCACCACTGATACAGAATAAAGAGTTCTGTTGGAACATCTTGAGCATCATTTGCTTGCATAGGATCCCACTTGTTCAGACACTTGGGCAGTTTACTACTGAATAGGATGGCTAAGAGGTGGTGCTTGGCCTACAGAGAGCCAGTGTTTAAGAGCATGGGACTGGGACTCAGGTGAGCTGGATCTAGTCCCTGCTCAGCCATGGAGATAACTGGGTGGCTTTGGGCCAGTTGCACACTCTTAGCCTAAACTACTTCACAATGGTGCTGTTGTGGTGATAATACTGAAAGCAGGAGGAGGAGGAGAATGATGCGAGTCCCTTTAAATTATTTAATAAAGAAGAAAGGCAGGGTGTAAACCAAATAAATATATAAAGACAGGGGCCTGCAACTAGGACATTTACATTGCAGTGTCAACATCCGAGGGCCTGGTCTTTTGCTTAAGTGGAGACCAGGAGCTTCTTGTGAAAAGGGGGTTTCTGCCTCCTGAACTTGGACAAGATGGAGTCAGTATGGTCTGGCTGAGTGGACTATTCCAACATGACTATAACACCACAGTAAGAATAGGAATGAAGTGACATTAGTTTAAGATTCGAATATGAACAGATCTTTAAAATGGAAACAGCTGATTTCTTCTTCCATTTTCATTCAGAACCCTGCCAGTCTGAGCAAAAATAAACAGCACTTAATATTGCATTAGGACCTTCACCCACACAGTGGAGCACACATCAGGGATCTCTGTGAACCTGAGCGACAGACTGCTAGTGCTGGCCTGGTAGGCCTCAGAAATTAGCATAAGCAAATAAAAAGGCAGTTCTGAGAAAGCATGGACCATCTTCCATATGTGAAGGCTGGTTGGAATGACTCAAGAGGAAAGGAGAGCCATTTAAAGACCTCCAGGGGACCATTCTTGGATAGGTTTCAACCCAAGTCTTATCTCAACCCCCCTGACAGGGCAGGGAATATGAAATGGAGAGGAAGAGGACCATAGAAGCTGTTTTAGGTCCCTTGCAAATATAATGAATTATTTATTTGTTTGTTTATTTGGGTATTTTTATTCCGTCCAATTATGCTGCACGTCTCTGGGCGGCTTACAAATGGAATCAGTAAATATTCCCAGTAAACTGGATCAGGGACTGACAGGTTGTGACTCCTAGCAGACATGGACCCTGACACCTCATTTTTCACTCTCGGGGATGGGGATCTCACGTTCAGACTGGAGACCTGGGTGATCCGGGTTCTAGTCCACATAGAGCTATAAAGCTCCCTGGGTGACTGTGGACTAAGCACTCACTCTCAGCTTAACCTAATTACCAGAGTTGCTCTTATTAGAATAAAATGGAGGGGAGGAGATTTATGTTAACTCTCTAGAGTATCTTGTAAGGGGGGAAAGGGCAGAATCGCAATGCAATGCAATAATATGAATACCCCCTTCCCATAAACAGGGCTACTGTGCCTTTAATCACTGCACAACCACCCGACATTTCCCCTATGTAATGCTTTTTCCTTAGTTTTCCGATGGAGACGTGTGATGCTTCGCCTCTTGAATTTTTGGCTGCTGTGCAATTGTTAAAACCACAGGAGTCCTGGAAGGAAAAAGTGGAGGAGGAGGCAATCCCATCCACCTAACAAGGCCAAGCATGGCCTCTGAGCTGCAACGCGCAGTTTCTTCTCTCTGTTGCAAGGGCATGGCTTGTTTCTCTAAAAGAAAAGCAAGCAAGGAAGCACTGCAAGAAATCCCCACGAGTCCCTGCCCCCTCCCGGCCCCCCACACCATTGCGTCATGAACGGTGCACCCCACAAGTGAGGGGCGGAGCAGAGGCTTTTCCCGCGCTTGTGGGGAAAGAGCGGCGTTGTGACTGGCCGGGCGGAGCTTCTCCTCGGAGGGAAACGTCCCTTACTCGGTGTAGCAAGGAGGAAAATATCGGTTCCAAAATGCAGGTAATTCAGGAATTGTGGCTCAGGAACTGAAAAGTATAGGAAGCAGCCTCGCTTAGCGGTTTCAAGACTGCTCTGTTTTTTTCTGAGTGGTGTGATAATACAGACATTTCAGGGTTCAATCCTATGCTGGTTTAAGCCCCTTTGCAAGTGGAAGGGCAGCATACAAATACTGTAAATACTGCATACAAAAATTGTTTTTAGAACCTGAGGATGCAGTGCTGGTGAAAGAAGCAAGGGTGGCTAGGGAATGCAGGGCCTCGGAGGGCTTTTTTCCGAATATACAGGCATAGGTTGCTTCTTAATACCCCCAGTAGCTAACTGCTTACAAACTTGTGTCCCTCCGCATCACCCGTCAGTCTTCCTCCCCACCAGAGCCCTCCATTTCCATTACAGGATGTCACTACTAACTGACACGTTAACAACTGCTGGCTCTGTTGCCCATCAAGGTTCTCTTCACCTGAGGAGCAGATTGCTGGGCTAATTTATATATTTATGTATTTATTATAGTTATATACCACCAATATTCCTTTCGATGAACTCAAGGTGACTTACACCATTTTCCTCCTCCTCTCAATTTTATCCTCACAACAACCCTGTGAGGTAGGTTGAGCCGAGAATCATCCAGCTAGCTCTGTGGCTGAATGGAGACTCGCTTGAGCTCAGTCCCACACTTTTAACCAGCATACCACACTGGCTTTCTGGCTATCAGGCCTCAGAAATAGTATAGATGATGAAAGAAGACTAATTAAAACCAGCCAGGATTGCCAGCTGAAGACAGCTTTTTTCCCCTTTCAAAAACAAAAAACAAACAAAACAAACCCAAAACAAAAATTGAAGAGACGTAGAAATCAAATGAGGCTCAAATATTACTTATTTCCTTAAGTTGCCATCCTGTGCATGGTTAGACTGACAAAAGTCCTACAACTCCCAGCCAGTTGTAGACATTTTCCATCAAAACATGCATAGGATTTTCCCTTTACGTTTATCTCCAGTATGTTCAAGGTGTATGTGTGTGATTCTTCCCAAGAACCTCATGAGGTAGTCGGGCTAAGAGATTGACTGGTCCAGGGTCACCCAATGAGCATCACAGCTAAGTGTTTTTAAATATGATTAATTTTTAAATATTTAAATTTAAAATCAAATTTTAAATATGATTAAGATGACAGTCTTACAAGTCAAACAACTACTGAAGAGACTAGTTAAAAAATGGGCAACCCCAGTCACAATGCATAATGGTCCATTCTACTATATGGAAGAACAGACTTTTTGGGGGAGCAGGGGTTAGTCAGTCCACTCAAATGGAACCCTATTGTTCTGAAAGAGTAGTATTCTGTAATGTTGGCCAGTGGTTAGGGTTTTGCTAACCTTCCTGCCCACACCCCACAATTAGATATTTAATCCCCACTTTGCAAAGCTTTCGCCTTCACAAAACATCACAATGCTGTATACTAAAACAATGCATATCTATCTATACAAATCATTGTCTAATAATCTGGGCATTGCCTTAGAAGGAAATGTGTCTACCATATATAGACTGAAATTTGTTTATATTTTTACCACTTTATCTGCTAACAAGACATAATGTACACCAATAAAGTATAATAAAATCTTAAAACAATAAAAACAATAAGAACAGGAAATTGATGAAGCAAATGTACAACTTCTGGGAGAGGGCTGGGTAGGTGCTATTTTTTCCTTCTTTTAAACAGCCTTGGTTGTTGTTAAAAAGCTTGTTGCTACCTAAGAGATAAGCATTGCATTATTTGTTAATTAAATACTATACTAAAATTATAATAAAGTATAACAAGTTTCTGCAAAAATAGCTCAATCCTCTGGTTGACTTTTTTGTGACAAAAACGGTTTATTTGTAGCCATGAGAGCTTATGCCAAAATAAATAACAAAACACAGGACTCCTAGCTTTTTTACTACTATAAATGCATGTGGCGACTATTATGATATGTATAGGATTTTGCATAACCAATCATAACCACAGTCTGAGACAATGCTCAGACCTTGCTTTGTAGTTTCCACTTTCTCCACATACTAAAGCTATTCTCTACAGGAAATAATGTGAACACAGGCTAATCATCACGTGGCAGCTGTACAATTTTTAGTTTATTCCTTCCAATAGTCTGTAGGCCACACTATTATCATTCTTATTGTAGGGCAAACCTAAAATAAAACGTTAGTAATCTGATTAAGTCATCCAGTAACTTCATAAATGGGAAGAGCTTAAAACACTGACTGTCCAATCCAGTGCATGTTTATTTGGAAGCAAGCCAAAATCTCACAAGTACAGCTACTTAAACTAGACCTTTACAAGCACATAAAATTGTTTGTTTTTTTTTAATTTCTACCAGTGATTTTCACATAAGCTACTAAAGCTGAAATGTTATATGTAAACGCAGGGAGACCTCAAGGGATTTTAGTGTGTACTCTCATAATATTTGCGTAAACAACAGAATTTATTTATGTATTCATTCATTCATTCAATGTCTCTCACATAAGGTTTTCAGTGTAGGTTTCAGCTAGGGGCTACTTCCTACTTTGACACTCATGGTAATTCCTTGACACAATATTAATATGAAGGTTCAAATTATTATTTTTTTTTGTCTCTCTGTGATATACAGGAAACTATTGAGTAATTTTGCAGGTAACCAAGCATGAAGAAAATCAGCCCAGTAAATCTTGATAAACTTTTAGAGGACTTCTCACATATAGAAATGGTAAAGCAACAATAGAACTTTCTGTTTGATCATTGTTTATTTATTTGAAACATTTGTTCCCTGTCTATAACCATTGCAGGATTTCTAGACAGCATACAGAGAATAAAACCTAACAACTAAATGCACAACAGCACTTGAATAATTATATACGATATATTTTTAAAATACAGTAAAACATTCTTACGATTAAAATGCTGGATAAATAAAAAGGGCTTGCCCTGGTGCCAAAATGAAAAAAGTTGGCTCCAGGTGCACCTCTGGAGAACATATTCCATAACTGAGGCACTACCAATGAGAAGGCCCTTCTCCAAGTAGGCCCTCTTCTAGTCTTTTTCAAAGAGGGCTCTTGCAGAAAGACCTCAGCAAGTGATTTTAGGGTTTGGGCAGGAGGATATGGAAGCCACTAAATTGCTAAGGCACTGTACGTATTTACTGATAAACTTTGCACACCTGTTTTCCATAAACCCATATCCAATTATGGGTTACAATAAATAATTTTTGAATGCTGATAACAGTAACAAAAAGCTAAGTACGAAAAATAGCAGCTGCATTTATGGATGACCAAATGCACAGCATTAAAATACATTATTTTCATTGGAATCCAAAAATACTTATACTCAGAAGTAAATATGGGAGTAAGTTCCACTGAATAGTGTGGAATTTACTTCTGAATAGATGAGCATAGGAGTTTGCTTAAGGGGTACATGTTGAAAGGCCATCTGGAAAAGCAAGGTCTAAACTGGGGGTGTACATTTTCTCTCCACTGTCCTCTTTTACTGTAAATTATTATTATATTATTTCATTTCCTATATTGACAGTTTTCATGTTAAATTTGCACTTTCTAAGGCTCCCTGAAATTCAGCTTCAAACCACCTAATTTTCTGCCACTACACCAGCAGTGGTAGGAGTATAAGCTTTGGAGGGTGGGGGTTTCCAGGGTAGTGGAAAGTAGCCTCCAGGCCCCACTGCAGTTACCCATGCCTACTCTAAACATGCTTACTCTGACATGACATTTCCCTGGAGAGAAAGAATATTCTTTTCAGCTAACTAAGCCTCTGTAACTCTGTCTCTTATTTTGTCTTTGTGCATCTGGATGTGTTACAGGACCAGATACAGGATTATATAATATATTTATTTAAAGATATTTAATCCTTCCAAGACCTAAGTAAGAGGATGGGCAGACTTTCTCTTGACAGGGATTCTTGTCACTGAAACAGTTCAGTTTCTTCCAGTTAAGCCAGTTCATGGGTTTAGAGTTTGCAACACTGACCAATAATGCTTTTATGTTGTTCCCATTAAGATCTGCCCTAGATGAAATCTAACCATTTTGGAAGTACTGTAGGACATAGGGACTGCATCAGGGGCAAGCACTGTTGGACACACCTACTGAGGTCCACACCCTTGCAGGTACCCACCCTCACACCCCAGAGCTTCCTGGCCCTGCTGCTGCTGTCGCTGCAGATTTTGGCATATGCAAACCATGAAAATTGTAAGGAGAAAGAGTAGCAACTTTTGCTTGTCTTGTACTTTCTGTCTGGGCTGTTGTACAGACTGGTTCCAAAGGGAGAAGGGAAGTGAAATATGAACATAAATGAGGAGAGATCATTGTGGACAAGGGGTCCCCCACCCCCCAAAAAAGTGAAGCAAGCATCGAAAAGAACTGGTTTTTGATGTCTGGATTAAAGTATGGATGGAGGATCCATAGGTAAGTAGCATGAGCACATACTTTGCAATTTGTCCAGCTAAAGGATCACTAGTAAAGGGCTAGAAAAAACCTGCCTGCAAGTGAAGGCAGTTATCAGGAAAGGTGGAATGATTTGTCTGAGTGTAAGAAACACACATGTTCACCTGGATAATTGTAATATGCTTTTCCAATGAGAATACCCATAATTATTTGACCTCAGTGCATTGCAGGCATCCTATACAGAGCTAATTTTAGCTGCCTAACTGCAACATTTTGGAGGGGGAAGAAAGGAGGCCAAGGCATGGCTTAACTGGAAATAAATTCCTTTAACTGAACTGTTATCTATTAAACTTTTTCATTATTTATTTCTCTGGATAACCTCTTTTTGGATCATGCTCTCATATCTCTAATGGTTGTCTGAATGTCATTAAGCTTCTGGAAAAACTGGAAATGTTAACTCATTTTAGTGTATTAATTTATCAAAGTAACTGAAGAAGACCCTTGTACGAAACTTTTTAAAAAGTTTTATTTGGAATTTAAATAATTTCCTACAGAAAATATCAGAACTTCATGGAAAAAGTAATCTTCTGACTCTTCAGTTGGATAAAACAAACAGGTTGCTGAAAATGAGCCAATCAGAGGAAGAGGCCGCTAAAGAAGGTAAGTGTACCTTGGCAGTGTGATTAGCTGATGATTCACTGGGATCACCAACTTCTTTTTCCCCCCTCCTTTTTATTATTTTTTTAAATGCCGAGGGAAAAAAACACAATACAACAATAATAATGTTACATAAAAAACTCAATAATTAGAAAAGTAAATGATAAAGTGCCCCCACCACCCCGGAGACCAATACTACCTCCACTTAATTCACATAATTAATAATATGTAATATTATTAGTAATAATACTTAGTAATATCCATATCCCCTCCAGAAATTCATACAATCTTGATTAGGTTTGCAACCTTTGCCTTCTATCAGTATTGATTTTACAAAATCTTCCCAAATTTCCTTATATTTATTTGCTTTCATTAACCCTTTTTAATTTTTATTTCTGTCATCAGTTTATCATTAATTATTATATTTCATTATACCATTCATGCCTTTGCAAAACCCAATTCTGTTTCCAGGATCACCAACTTCTGATGAAATGAACTGCAGTTCACAAACAATTGTGCCATGAACAATACTTTTGAGTCTTTAAAGTGCCACATGTCTCTTTGGTGGTTTTGATGCAACAGGCTACAATGGATACCCTCATGACAATATAATGTGAATTCAATAATTGTAGGATTTTCTATCAATCATTTGCTGGAGTAATGGTGGAATTTACCTGAGGTTTCTTTTAATTTAATTACTTCATTGCATTTCTATATTACCCAAAGCTCTGAGTAAAACCATAAAATACAGTAGTACAGTGATACAAGATAAAGCATAAAATACAATTTTACAGAGACAGCAGTTGTATGAAAGATTGTATTATTTTTCCAACATGTTCTTAGTTTGGTTTGTATTCTTTCCTAAATTTGTGTATATGTAATATGATTGGTTTCAATACTGTTTTTAATTTCAGAACTCACCTGCACTGAGTTCTGAAAGCAGATTGTAGGTTATATCCAGTAGTATCATCCCATTACATGTGTGGGCTTCTGCTCATGTGAAGGCTGAGTCCAATTTATAACTTTATAAATAAATAAAACCATAATGGTGCAGCTGAATAGATTATTGTTGAATTGTTTGCCGTTTCTGATTTTCAGTCTGATTCATTTCATGTTGGTTTATAAATATTTATTTATTTAATACACTTATTAAATACTGAGGAATAATGATAGCTGGATGAAGTTTAGCATATCATAAAAATTAAAAGCATAAAATACAAAAATGGAAATTTAGAACAGCATTGAAACAATCACTATAAAGACAGAGAGTCAAAGCTATACCAAAAAGCAGATGTTCACAAGCTGAAAACATTCCAAAGACAAGCCCCACTGAGTTCAATTAGACTTACTTGTAAATCAAGTAAGTAATTGCAGGCCAGGCCAGACCAAGCATGAAATTTCTCCCAAGAATAAAGGGCTAATAACACAGTCATGAGCTTTCAGTGAATGTCTCTGATTTCAGCCACTCTTGCCCGTCCTAAGTCCTGTCAAGTGCTTGCTGGGAGGGTAGGAGGTAAGGTTGAGGCCTTTGGCCCTTTCTTTTTCCTAAAAGGAAACTTTCACCAGATGGTCCTGAGAAACTGTCTAACTTTCCTTATCTGGCACATGTGGGGCAGGGGTGAAGGGCTAAAGAATCCAGCAGATCCAAGACCTGCCTCTCCCTCCTGGAGTGCCCATCTTTCCCCATGCCCAAGGTCAGAGTTCTAGCTTTCAGAAAGGGAGACACCAGTGTTCCCCAGGTGGAGCCTTCAATATTGCAAGCTCCACTCCTTGCCATGCCCTATCAATTCTTGTCAGCAGGGCAAATATCAAAATGGAGGTAGGACATACTCTATTATTTCATCCAAAAATAGAAAAAAATCCAAACTCTTCCATTCAGCAATGGGAAATAAACACTTGCATGTGCTCTTGAGCCCTACTAAATGTTTTTTCTGGGTCTGGGGGATGGGAGACCTTAGGAATCCTCAACCACTTCTCCATCCACTGGAACACCTCTGAAATCTTATGCCAGTTCCCCCCGTCTACAAGGTTGGAGTTCTTACCTTGTGGAATTATTGCAGCACAGAAGTTTCTGCTGTAGTGAGGAGAAGCAGAAAGTGACACTGACATCAAAAAGCCATCCAAGATCGTAGCTTTGTCTACAGCTTTGTCTAGTTTTTTTCTTAACAAATCTGTTTAAGAACAGGTCTATCTGTGAACCCCAGGATTGCTCTCTTAGAAGTAGAGTAATGGGCTAAGTACTCTTTTCAAAATGGAAGTACTCTTTTCAAAATGCAGTAAGTATCAAAAGCATGACACACTTTAAGCTGTATGCTTAAAATTAATCACAGCTATATTTTTTCAGTGAAGGTCTGTGCCTGGATTACACCTTTTTGTAAAATAAATGCTGTTTCATTTTCCCTGATCTCAGTAATCTGTCATTTTACAGACCTATTGAGAATTGCGTTGTAGGATAGGAACAGTTTACAGCCTATGAAGCATCTATGAATAGAAAAACAGAGCAGAGTAGAAAAACTGCCTGTAAATCATATATTTTAAGAAATGGAAAATGATATATTAGGCCTTCCATTTCAACTTCCTGTAAAGCAAGGGAATGGCACAAAAACAGAGACGGGTTATGAATTTATTGGTCTGCTCTTGCATTCTTGGATTAGGAAAGAAGCTAGCATCTTGATCCATTTAGTAGTAACAAGCTATTTGCTAGCTAGAGGAATCATCCATGACATATTTTGATGGAAGCAAGCAATACAAATGCCTAATGCAATCATCTGAAAGAACTGAGACCAGCACCAGCTTTGAAGAGACCCTGAGCAAAGTACCCTTGGATAGACATTCTCCTCCACTGATAGCCCTAGTAGGCTTACCAGTAGTAGTGCCATACAACAGCAATGCTCCAAACAACATTGGGAGAATGGGGCCAGCCACCATTAATATATTCTACGGTGTCCTGAACTGAGGCTACATTGAGGGCATTGTGGGAACAGTAAATGTTGGCTACACTGCTAACCATGATAGCCAAGGACAGGAATAAGAGGACGCCCTTGCCATGAACTGGGGCCCCAACAGTTGTCTTAAGTGCGCCTGGCATTGAGGTCAGCCCAGCAAGGAGCTTCACACTCTGAGTGAAGGTAGCACAAGAATGTATAAGAGCAGCCCTTCTGGATCAGACCAGACATCCATCTCATTAACTGTTTTCACGCAGTTGTCAATCAACTGCTGGTGGTAAACTCACCAGAAGAACCTAAGGGCAATAACAACTTCTCACTTGTGTTCATCCATTCTTACTATAAATGTCAAAGCAGCTGCCACTATTTTGTGTGTCCAAGCAGCAAAACTATACCCTGCCAGGAACACACTATGCAGGGCCAACTGAAGAACAATTAATTTGGGGAAGCAAAAGGTTAGCCAAGACATACTGAAGAGACAAGGATCTTTTTGTCTTCTGACCTGGGCCCCAAGTCCGCTAGCCTCAAAAGTTGTATTCTTCCCAGATAGTTTCTCTAGCTCTTGCTTTGATTGGTAGATTTTTAAAAATAACAATGCATAGCCATTTGTAGACTTTATGGCACAGCCCTCTGCATGCTTAAATAAAAAAAAGGATCTAGACCACAGGCACGCTGGGAATGGTAGGACTCTTTTCTGTCTAAACTTGTGTAAGATTGCACCCTTTAACATTTGAGTTTAAATTAAAAGTTTTAGTACATTGTGATTGTTGGGTCTGCAACTTTTCTGGCCTGTTAGCTGGAGTAGCAGGAAATGCTTTTGAAATTGCCATCCGTTACTCCCTGGAGTGATGTTTGCAAAGTATGGAATTGAAAAACCAGTAAAATTATTGTCATAATATTACTATTGTACCCCACCGTTCTCCTTCATGGATCACTGCCTTGTGGCAAAGGGGCTTGTGTAGCGCAATGAAGCTATGAGCTATGCCATGCAGGGCCACCCAAGACGGACAGGTCATAGCAGAGAGCTCTGACAAAGCGTGATCCACTGTGGAAGGAAATGGCAACCCACTCCAGTATCTTTGCCATAAAACCCCCATGAACAGTACCAAAAGGCAAAAAGATAAAACGCCGGAAGATGAGCCCCTCAGGTTGGAAGGTGTCCAATATGCTACTGGGGAAGAGCGGAGGGCTAGTACTAGTAGCACCAGAAAGAATGAAGCAACCGGGTCAAAGCCAAAAGGACACTCAGTTGCCGATGTATCTGATGGTGAAAGGAGAGTCCAATGCTGTAAAGATCTATACTCCATAGGAACCTGGAATGTAAGATCCATGAATCAAGGCAAGCTGGATGTGGTCAAACAAGAGATGACAAGACTGAACACTGACATCTTAGGAATCAGTGAACTAAAATGGACAGGAATGGGTGAATT